TCAAGGAGAAATAAAATGTATGAAAACTTATTTTCGAAAAAGTTTGGTGCTAAAAATGATCAATAATATTGAAACAAATATTAGTGTATTAAATGGTATATAACTGATTTTTAAAGGGAAAAACTCTTGGGAAAAAGTATCAGAGATTACAATTCATAATTGTTTTCGTCATGCTGGTTTCAATAATGCAATACTACAAAAAGCGATCCAAGAAGAACAAGAAGAAAACATAAGTTTCTTAGACATAAATAAATATGTTAACTTTGATAATTATGTACTAACTGCAGAACAATAACTTATTTCTTCATTCATTAACAAACGCGAAGAACACTAGGAAAATGATAATAATGAAGAAGCTGATACTTCCGATGAAGATTTATCTATCAGTGCAGTGTTATATGGCTCTGAATAACGTAAATCCAAAAATAAATTTTGAAGAAGTAGAAAAAACAATAAAGCGTGATTTTTATACATATATCTTCAATCTAAAATAACATTTTTTTTAAAACAATGATGTAAATTAAATCCTAAAATAATAATTAAATTCATTAATTTAAATACATAGATAATTAAATGTTTTTATCTTTACTTTTTTTCTATATCAAATATATATGTAATAATATATGTATTTTTTCTATATTGAAATTAGCAATTTTTTTCGTTATTTTGGTTATAATGACAACCGGTTATTATGACCTAATTTCTTTGATCCCTTGAACGTCATTATAAACGTTTTCTGCTGTATGTGATTTGTCTTTTCGTCAGTAGATAACGGTGGATTTATTCGGTGAACATATTAACAGCGTATTTAGAACAAATTCGGGGACTTAACCTTGCATCAATATATTCCCCGGAACAGTAGATGTTTGAAAAATGTATCGTGACCCATGGTTTATAATTCGCATACGCCACTGCATGAATATAGAATACATCGTAAACATGTTTTATAGGTTTTTATAAAATATTTTCCAGAATTTACATGTATATGTTTATTTGTAAAGGACAATTTTATTTTCGTAGTATTCATTAATGGTGGCGGTGACGGTGGTGATTAAAAATCTTTCAGTGTTCTGAGGTCATATGGTGATAAGGAATATGATGCGTTTTGCAATTATTAAAATGCGTTCTTGTATAAAGGATAGCAAATTAAATCATTAAAAACCTGTATAATTCATATAGTCGTAGTGCACTGCGTAAAAAGAGTGTCTTGTTAGAAATTTTTAGGAACTACTACTGGAAAAAAAAAAATTAAAAATGATGTGTCTATAATTAATAATTATACATAAAAATTAGTTACGTTATAAATTAGCATAACACAATAAAGTTTCACTATTTTTATTTAAAAGTATAAAAATGAAATCAGGATAAAAATGAGATGCATTTTCAATGGAAAATAAGAGTTCAAAATTGTTCGAATCAACGTCTATTTTTTGCACTAACAACTTCGTTTGTCTTACATTGAGATCGGCAGAATCATACTGGGTGAGAGGAAAATGTCAGAAAATATTTTAGTAAAATATATTCAAGTAGAGATTGATGGTTTTATTTATAATTTTTTTGTTTCGTAAGCTATTATTACTAGATGATGTCCAATTTTGGATTTAAAAATATGTGATGATAATGATGGTATTTATTTTAAACTGCCATCGTAGTTTTTTTTTTTTTTTTTAATTTGTTTACTGTCCATGGTCCATATGTGGCTGAATAACAAAGTTACAATAGTTACTGCTATGTCCGTCGAGGGTTAATAAAGTGAGTGTATGTCTTTGTTAAAAAATGCTAGAAAATATCGTTCTGTCATTATAATTCGTTCATAATCTTTTTAATTATAATTGCATAGGGGCAAGACATGTATTATGAGTATTTATACGAAATTCGCCAAATATACTTAAGCGTCATTTTCGTTTTAACTGAGATAATTCATGAACAAAATGTCTTGTTTGAAATAATACTTTCAACTTATACAATATTATTTCCGGTATAGATGCATATATATATATATAAATAGGTATGGGAAATCATTTACGTTGAACAAGATTCCTTTCTCATTTATCAAACCCATAGTAAATTACATAGTAGGTACTTGATTTTGTTTACAATCAAAACCGGTATATACTTCAAACACGAACAAATTGATGACCTACATAAATGGAAGGTAAGAAGACATACACGCATGTACATTATATGTATTCACTTAAAATCAACGTTATTTTCTTAAGTTTATTTTGTCGCAATATAATTTTTTTTTTTTAATCTCAACTCAATGAAATTTAATCTTATTGAAGAAAATAATAGTAAAAAATACAGGTAGGTACACGTATAACGATAGTCAATGAAATCTAACGAATGCTTTCATCGATGATTTGAGGATATTCTTAACGATTAATGGTTCCAGTGATTTGTAGATTTATTATTTTATATTTACGTACAGTAAACAACTATTAATAGAATAAAAGATGAACAGAATAACTCTTAAGTCAAATTTTGTCAACGTGCTCAAGGATGCTAAATCTTAGAGTTTAACAACAGTTGTGTGCATGTGCATATGCATCATATTGATATTTGGACATGTGGATCGATTATTAGAATAATAGTTTATTTTAAGACTGTAGTGCATATGAAAGGCACTATTGGTAAGGATTATAGTCGCAGTAAACGGTAAGTGATTCAATGTATAATATACATTATATATTATTTTATAGTATAAAACTGCACAACTCGACTTTGATCTTTGAATATATATCTATATTGATAAATAAATTCGCATTGGCGTGCATTTAAATTTACTAAATTATTTACTATTATACTATTATTGGGTTTTGCTATTTATTATGTGAAATATTTCAATTATCGAGTTTGGTAAATGTTTGTTAAATGTTTTTAGTTTGGAAACTTTTTTGTCGTTTTCTCACCGACTACGTTTTTCTCATTAGTCATAAGTGAAAATATAAATATAAATATAAAGAAGATTTTTAAAATAAAATTGAGTGTTTAGTAAATAGTCAATATCAATGAATTTATTTAGTTACTAAATGATACCAAATACCTAAAATTAATATAAAAAAAATTAAATGTTAATTATTTTCATTCTTTAATAATTAATATTTTTTCGTAATTTTCAGTTTAATATACTAGAAAACCATACTATTAGAATAAAACAGTCAAACTAATATACGAGTATATATATAGGTATATATAAATCAGACTTCATAATCGGACTATTCGTATTAAACAGTCGAAAGTCTTCGCCGACAAGTCAGTCTAGGTAGGTCACACAGCTTCGAGACAATCGTTCGACGGTAATCGCACGGTTATCTAAATGTTTAATAATGTAATTAATTAAAAAAATATTGATTATCAATGGTAGTACTTAGCGATATCATATTTAAGTGGATGCGTTCTCTGTGATACAACAGAAAAAAAGTCATGTTATTATTATTTATTAATCTCTTTTCATTTACATTAAACTTGTAGAGTAATAATTGTTGTAATTGTTTTTTCTTTATACTTTGCTAATAATTAGCTTATGCCATTATTTTAAATATGTTTATTATGTAAATATCGCTGAAAAAAATAATATAAGAAGTATTATGTTCAATGTTTAGTAGTTGGGTGTGGAAAATGTGTTAAATTGAATGTTAGAAGTTAAAAAGCATAATAGGTGAATAACATTAATATTAATATATTTGGTTGTTTATAATTATACATTTGAGATTATAATAAGTATACAAAGATTTTTATGTGACTAAAAAAAAAGCATTTATTGGCATAGAAAAGTGACATCCATCGAAATATTTTTTCTATAAATGATTATTAGGTATATCAATCGTTGTTCTTAGTTGACTACACGCTGTATCCAATCTCATGTTTTTATCACATTAATATTTACACAGAATAAAAGTCGAAAAAACTCACAGTATCTCTTAAGGGAGCACTACGTACAAAACATGAATCTTTTCGATGGGAAAAATTTTCTTCTTTCACTTTTATTTTATGATATTTTAGTAAAAACATAAATCATATTATAGTAGTTATATTATTTTATCACAACGGTAGAACACGAAACTTCTAACCAGGAGTTATCACTAACCGACACATGTACAATAAAAAATATTTTGTATCTACCTTTTTTTATCAAAGGCGCAGTAGACACATTTCTTCTCGAAATTATTTTATACTATATCTCTTAATTTTTTTGAGTTTTGACACTTTTAAACTGTAATACTAAACAGTTTAAGAAAAATTTCCTTAGAAAATTGACTATTATCATTTTCCCCGTAGTTCTTCAATCGTTTTCAAGTGTGCTAATACCATAAGTTGAAGTATTTCAATAACAATAAATATTTTAATCATCATAATTTATAACGTAAAATTTAAATTTATGTTCCATTGTATTTATATAGGTATATAATATACGACAGGTATAGTATATGACAAATCTGTAAAACTAATTAACGTTAAAACTAAAAAAAGAAAAGTAAAACCACGTCAGAGTTTACACCGTAAGAATACTGTTCTAGAGTGGAGTCTATATTTAATTTTTAGTTTTCCCTTAATGTTGTCAGTAGACTTGAGGCAAATAAGTGATAGGTAAAGCGTTTCTTAAGTACCGTTTTACTATGATAATTATAATATTATATTCATTTTATAGTATTGTGTATTTATCAGTACTTTCTGTATGTACGATTTCGTTTGGATGCCGACCGTGCAATCGATAAATTTGCGAATGCGAATACCAAAATGGTTGTAAAAATTATAGAGTTTATTCTGGGAAGTTTATGCTTCATACATTTCAGCGTGTTGAATAAATAATAATATTTATACATGAAGGAACAAATGTGTTTTATTTAAGATAAATATTAAAAATTTACTACTATGTAACATACTATTGTATCATACAAACAAAATTAAAATCAACGAAATACAAATATTAATGGTTATAAAAATACGAAAACAAAATAAAAAAATAAAAAATAATTTTAAATACATAAAGCCGATCGTAATAAAAAAAAAAAAAACTTTAAATGCTAATTTTTTTTTTCGTGGTAATTTGGTGCGAAATGTAATATTATAATGGATGTAACTACAATTGGTGTTGTACTAGAGAAGTACGGAACCATTTGAAAATATTGCATCGCTGGGGGTGCAGTGATCCACTTTTTGAGATTTTCTGGGTGCAGATTAAAATTCTGTTTTGAAATAAGTTTTGGTCAATATCGATGACGACGCTCATAGAGACTTAAGTTTTGGTATCAAGTTCATCAAATGTATATTGTGACACACGAAAAAATTTAAAAAAAAATTCACTTTATATGTTCTTTGACTGTTGTAATGATAGTAAAACGAACTATTCAATATTCGTTCTCGGTTTTTATGATGAACCCAACATTTTTGTTGCACTCATTTTTTCTTTTGCTATAGTGTACATAATAAAACCAATGTATATATTGTCCATATTTTAAGACCAAAAGAGAATAATTAAATGTATGTAGCTTATTTTATATAAATGTCGTTTATGTTAAGGCTCGTGTGACTAGGCTGATAACGTCCATTTTTTCAACACTTGTGTTGACTAATCTATTCATAATTGATGTAAATTACCAAACATATTTTGGAATCCCTGACAAAAGAAAAAAACTCTACATTCGCCAACCGATATTAGTATTAGCTAATCGTGAGCCTAAACTTGTTTTAATAATTTTTGAAGTAGTTCTTCTTGTTCAGCTAATTCCATCATATGTTTTCGATGATTTTCCATTTCGGTGATTTTTTGTTTTTTCCTGTGAACATTAATTAAATATTAAAAAACAATAAATATATTTCCAAGAGGAATAATATGTAAATTATATGAGTATAATTAATTTCAATATATATTTTAATAAAGTAATCATGTATGAAATATGACGATGCGATTATATTTTACACAAACGGTCAAGTATTCGTAGAATATTCAAAATGTATACATTTCAAAATAAGAAATTGGCATTCGTGGATTACGCACAGCAATATAAACGTGCTTACAGTGGGTACGAATATTGTTGGCATTTATAATACAATCGAATTGCTATAACTCGAAGTTGAAAGGGCTGAAATTGGCTTCGATATATCTAAGTCAAATTTATCAAAATTATGTCAAGATTTTGATTTATGTAATGAAATTTAATTTTAAAATTGTATGATAAAAAATCGTGATGATAATTATATATACAAGTATTTTCATATTTATTTAAAATAATTTGTTATTAGTTTTTAGTTCTTCAGCTGTTTATTCACTAAGTCTTCTAATTTACCTACGACTTTGAATATTGAAGTATCCACACCTTCGACAGATGCAACAATCGTCTAACAGTTTAAAATGATAACATTGCTTGGTTTGCCGTAATCATATTTAATGTTCTTTGAGAATCATAATTTCGGAATCACTATTGAAATTATATGATTTCATTAACCAGTAAATACTTATGTTATTGTGTATTTGCTAATAATTAGTTTCTATCTACTCGTTTACTATTATAATTTTACAATAGAGAAAATATAATATTTTTATATAAATACTTCGATAAGTTATGTGTCACAATTTTATATTCGAGACTTAAACAATACATTGAGTGTTATGAGAATTTCTACAGTAATAAAAAAAATATTGAGTTATCACGATTTGACTGTATATCTTTCACCATTATGGCACTTACCATTATCTTTTTTCTGGTGTTAATTTGATCGTTTAAATATTTTCTAATCTGCCATTTGTTTTGTTTTCTCTTTTCGGACAGTTCCTTCATCTCATTTAAATATTTTTCGCGATCTATCATCGACTCTTCGTACGTCATGCGATTTATTTGTTTTTGTTGTTCGATCAATGCTTCGCGTATTTTCAATTGTTCCATTAGTATTTTGTTCCCTTCCTATTAACATAATCATATTAATGTTATTCTGACACAAGGTAACTTTTCGCTCTACAAAGCTTCTAAAAAAGCAAATTCGAACCTCTACGCGTTTCCGTCGTGATTCATAATTTTTGCGTTCAATGGATAATTTCAGATCATCTATTTCCTTCATTTGTTTCATCAATATGTTCGACATTTCATTGTTTTGCTTTCTGCGTTCTTCTTTGATCATCGCGTCGTGCTTCATAAACATCTCGTTTTCACGTCGCAACTGAATCTATAATAATATTATGGAACATTGCATTTTTATTTAAATTTAATAATTTGGGTTGCGGTTTGAAACCTTTGCTTCACAGTCATCTGTAGTGTTCTTAGTAAAATTATCCGGATTTGTGGTTGCAAACGTATCGTTTAAAGTTGATATCGTCTCGTTCGGTTTTGAAAATAATTTCATTCGTTCTTCGATGAACTGTTCGATTTCTTCTTTGTTCCGTTTCCGGTTTTTTATTCGTTCCAGTTTTTCTGCAATAAAATCGACACTATAATTTAGATATATGTATTCGGACATAGTATTAAACTTAAGCATATATTATTTAGCTTAGCCCTCTCAAATATTTTAATATTTCAAAATCGAAACTTTGTTAGATATGTTATTCGCTGTTTTTATAATTATCTGTTCATTTTTTTTGAAAATCGTAAAATAAGAAATAATAAAAATCTATTTATAATACCATTAACAATACCAATTAGTTCGACTACTTGTGAAAGAAGTTTCACTGCAATGAAAAAAAATAAAAATGTGGCTAAGGTTCAACGAATTTTCAATACTATATATTGAAAAAAATATATCGAAAAATATAAAAAGCGATGATATTTTGAATATCTTTGCTGATACAAATAGATATGGGCGCTTGTAAATTGCACCCACATCAAGTAGGTAGTAAAAATACTATAGTTAATTGCGCCCATAGCATCTGCCAAGTAACCTCATATTTATAATTTTATGGATAAAATATTAGATTTACAATCTGAAATTTATATAAAAATTAATAGTATAAATGAATCTTATAGGTTCATATATTACATTTGTTTCTACATTTCAAAACACCAAATCAAAAAAAAATTTAAAAAAATGGAAAAAATTATTCAACAGTACAATGAAAACACTATTATGAGGGCTGAATATGTGAAGATGATGTCTCATTACTATGCAGATAACTTATAACTGTATTTTTTATTTTTCACCTAACAAAAAATATTTAAAAAACTATAGTTAATAGGATAATATTTAAAAAAAAAAATTAATTTTCTTATTTTTATTAATTATTTTTTTCATTTCAAGTAAACAAAAAAAAAAAAAAACATTTTTGGAGGACAGTGATAGTCGCCTTTTCGTGGTGTCCTCTGGGTAATGCTATATAAAAATTATATTTCTGTTAGGCGCAATTTACTATACAAAAATTTGTACCTGAAAAATACCAGGCGTAATTTACTACACAAAAATATATACCTGAAAAATACCGAGCGCAATTTATAATTGTTTCTCTTCGTTGAGCGCAATTTACGTTTGCCCATAGATATTTGTCATTAAAATAAAGTATTCATTATTTTTAAATATGCGTTATTTAGTGTTTTTTTAATACAATTTAAACATATCTATATTTTTAATAGTAATAAGTTTTACTTGTGCATGGAAAGGGATTGTGAGGGAAGTCCCTGCGGGTTATTTTACATTAAATTATTATAACCCCCCAAAAATTTAACCAAATGTTCGCCTATTATTTATATGTTACAAGTGGTGTTAGTTAGGTGTTTTTATTACAAGTATGTTAAACATACTTTTCCTACTCACCAAGTTCTTCCTCTTCAACTAATTGTTTCTTTAACATTATTAAATCATTACGTTCGATATTTTTCAACTCTTTTTCTTGTTCCCGTATAATTTCTTTTTCTTGTAATTGTTTATGTAATTCATTTCGAAATTGTTCTTTTTGTTCCAAAATTTTGCGTTTTTCTTGTTCTTTTTGGTGAATCTAAATAAAACAATATTACGATGCAGTTTTATTTATTTATAAAATACATTTTCAAATTTAAAATTTAGTATGATATTGTAACTAATATTTTCAATAGTACGTAAAATTAACAACAATTGCATACAAATTTTCTTAAAAACTATTGGAAATAAAAAAAATATATACAACATAAAAAATATAATATAATAAATTCTAATATCAATAATATTATTTTATGAAGTTTGAATGATGAATTTGTTTGTATCGTAGTGGCCTTGATACCCGAGTATCCGGGACTACCCGGGTACCCGAGTACTCTAGTTTTACGGGTATTACCCGATTTACAAAATTTCGGGTACCCGTTATGGTTTGTATACTCATTACCATCTAGATAATTGTGTAATGTATAATTTAATACTGATTACCTCTTCGGAGTTAAGACTTAGCTAAACCGTTTACGTATATCAAAAACTTTCGGGTAACCGAAAATTTTGGGAAATGGGTACCCACTACCCGAAAACGTTCACTGCCCTCAAAATCGGGTATTACCTACATCAAATCAAGAGAACCAGTACATACGTATAATATAATATGCAGCATTACAATTTGTATGATTTACTTATATATTAGCATTATTAGCACAATAATTAATAGCCTAAGAAATAACGTATGATATTATCTCGAATACTTCATATTATCTCATATGAGAAGTGACAGTTTTGTGTTCAGTGGAAAGGGAGGTTAAGGGATAAGACTCAATTATTTTCCTTTTAAATGTGTTCATAATACAACTATAATTTATCAAAAATTTTATAAATAGTAATTTTATGAGTTAAAAGCAATTTGAATGGCTTAACCATTTAAGTCGCCCTGTAAAGTTTTTTGCTTCATATCACAATCACTTAATTATATTATTACTTTTAACATCCCTAACCTCTCATTGAAAAATCCTGGGCATTACATATTTTATGTCGACACTTTGTAACAAATTTTATTTATATACATATGAGTATACAACCTATTGGGTATCAACATTATCGTAAACACTTTCATACGTTTCTCAACAGAAGATTTAGTTGTTGGTACATGACATTAATTTTTGGAAGATTTTACTCCTTCGCATTTAAAATATTAATCTTTCAGCTTTTGATTGGTATGTTGAAAACAAAATTACAACATGTACACAATTATTTTTATTGGCTACTAACCATAACGAGTTTCTATGACGTATTAAATTAAATTTTTTAACTAACAATAGTTCGTATTTTGTCACATCAACAGTGGAGTCGAGAGTGAAAACATACAAATTCCTTCTAATATTTCTTGAAGTCATCAGAAGTTTCATTAATACTTAAAGCTTCAAGTTTAAGCGATTTTAAATTGTCAGTTAACTATTTTCTCCATATCACTGATCAGTGGTCGATTTGTCGAATTTTGAAATAGCGGATTCGCCAGTCATTGGAGATAGTTTATGCAGACATATGTCGAGCAGATATTTCTACAAGGTAAGGTCGTTTAATCTTATTTCAACCCTTTTAAACCTAAATTATTAAATATTTAATAAAATAATTATTTTTAAAAACATTTTAGTATGTATTTAATGGTCAATTTTTAACACTTTAAGATTTTAAAGATTTTGAAGATTTTTGGGTCAAATGAAAACAAACAATTATTTTTGTAATTTTTGAAAAATTTAAGTTGTATAAACCTCAAGTATTAATTTATTTACTAAATAAAAAAATTGTTTTATTATAGTATACTATACTCATAAGCGAAGGAGACCTGTATTTAAGGGAGTGCCTACTATACTTTTGGACTTTATATTTACAAAACATGTAGGTATATTTAATAAATTATTATGTATAAATAGTTAAATAAACATAAATCAAATTTTTTATTCAATATTGTGATAATTAGTCCCTTGAATATGTTTTATTTGAATCTAGTACATTTTTCTAAGAAAGCTATAATTATTTATGATTTGTACTCTTGTAGTCAATTTTAATTGAAATAATAAGTTTTTGCACTAAAATTTAGTTTTAGTATTTCTATTAAAAAACATAATTTATTTTTTTACGAATATATAAGAATATATAATATTTAGTCTATGCAAAAACAGTTAAAATAAGAAACACTTACACTCACTTTTAGACTTACATCTTAGGGTTCCAGTTTACTACATTTCGGGAGATGCTCGGGTACATATATGACTACAAGGAAAACTATCTAAAGCGGACCCTGAATAAAATAAAAAACTATTCAATACGGAATTTTTCTATGGTTTTGGCACGTTCTATAGTTTTATATAGACGCTGAACATTAATAAAACGTAACCTTCTTAACGCGGGAACGGAACGATTTTGTAAGTCCCATGCAAGTAAAAACCTTGCATAAACCGGAAAAATGACGCATGTGTGTACTATAAACCAAATATAAGGTATAAAATATAGATATGTACATCGTTGCATGTTTATCGTTAAATAGTGATAAATAAAGAAGATAAAATTGTTCTATACATATTCGTACAATATATGTACATCAGGCCCGTATTTAAAAATTTAGTACCCTCGGGCATATAATTTATGTCCCCCCCTCCCAAATAAATAATAATAATATAACACTTATTATTTCGTCCATAATCGAGATTCTTTATTATTAAAATATAACTTATAAATGAAAATCGTTTAATACTTTTTTTAATTAACAATTTATAATATAATAAAAATACAATTTTTTTTTTTTAATTTACAAATTATAACATAATAAAACATACTATTTTCTTTTTTTATTGTTTTTTTTTTTCATTAGTTACATCATTTTTAAAATTAATTTTGTTAAAATATTTTGCCACCCATGAGACTTGACGCCCCCGGGCATGTGCCTACCCGTGCCCCCCCTAAATACGGACCGGATACAACATACAATGCATATTATCGCATAAACGATTCGAACCAGGGGCGGATCTGAAGCTTGGTTTAGGGGGTGGCGAATAGGAATATTATGAGTGATATATATAAAACACAATGAATACTTTACCGTAATTTCAGCAATTTAAGGAAAAATAAGTACAACGTTTATATTCACTGTAGGTATATCTTTACTTATAATTATAAAAATTTTAATACTGAAAAATATTTATTACAATAATAATTTAACATTTCTTTTTTTTTTCATTTGCAAATCTATTAATATCATTTTCTACCTTTACAAGTCAGTCGACTTTGCCTATCCGTGATCTTAACAATGTTTTTAATCTAAAAATTAATAATAGTAGAAATAAGCAAACATGCAAATCCTCATAGACACCCGCGATATATTATAATACTGTGGGATTGCTCGGTCGTCGGTGCAATAAGCACGCGACGATCACCGAATAGCGTACATAGAAAATACTAAAATACTAATAATAATATCACAGGTACACAACTTAATGTTTGATGCTTTAGTTAATGATTATAGGCTATAGACATGAATTAATTTAATATTATTATTAGTCTTCATGGTTATGGCTAATATAGTAAACTATTATTTAATATCATGATACTTTCTGCTATGGTCACGAACTAAAATAGTATCTATAGCTACTTAAACAATGATAAACATAATTATAATTATATTTTATTTATTTTTATTATGTATATAAAAATACTAAATAAATCTGTAATAAAAAAAACCCAGGGGGGGGTGAACGCCACGTCGCCCCCCCCCCATAAATCCGCCCCTGATTCGAACTTTCTTCTTTGTAACTGAGAAACAGTCATACACCAATAGTCGTACGTACACTTTTAATTTTATCTTCCGTTCATCATATTAAATATAAAAATGAAAATATAAGTGTCTATGAAAAATATCAATTGATCTATATGAGTATAAAAGAATAATTGAATAATTCGGAATTTTTCCGTTTTATTGAATAAAGCGGAAAACTGCTTAAGCGGAATTTTTGGTTGGTCCCATGCGATTTCGTTTTAGACAGTTTTCACTGTATACTCCGATAACTGATAATTTTGATTTTGCAAGTAGTAATTGGCTTAAATTTTGTCTATGATTATACAAAAATAGTTAAAGCTATAATAAAATGTAATTAGTTTTTTTTTTATTTTGAAAAATACAATCTGAATAGTTTATATACAATAAGAATTTATTGATATTATTATTTGTTATTATTTTATTTGATGTTATATTTTTATTATTTAATAAGTTAAAAATCAATTTAGGAACTTCAATTAATTCAAGTCTTTAATAATTTTATATCGAATTTAACAAGAGTTGAAGTATATTAGCATTTATAAATCAAAGAGAGTGAGATGTGTACGTAATAAATTATCTTAATACATTATAAATATATTTCATAATAAATTTATGAGATAGTCTTTCGCAATCACCCCTTATAGAGGTATAGAAAAAAAAATATAGTCTTTCCAGTCTGGTTCGTAGGGCTGGGTATGTTTTTTGTCTGGCGTCACGACTTGACTAACCCTTCCACGAGGACCCACCTTGACGTGGTGGGGGGGGGGCTTGCATCCCTCAACAGTTCTGAGAACTATGCCAACGGTAGCTTACTACTAACAGGGTCTTCCATGACAAACTGAGGGTTGACAAAGCGGTTCTCAATAAAGGGTAGGGCGGGCTCTCAGCCTCGGGTAGCACCCGTCCTAGAGGAAGGAAAATCTTAATCAAAAATCCCCTGGCAGTAGGGTTAAAATGTGTTGAAGGAAATCACTCGAAAAATCACAATATGAGTTACTATTAGTCAAGTATTGTTACCACCTCAGGGATTTCGGAACCCCAGAAGTCGGCAGTAGTGGGTGGTTCCGGTGTCAAAATCGGTTCCAACGTAGCGGGTCCATTTCGGTCGTCATTAAACGACCGCGAGGGTACGGGGATGACCAACCAGGCCCCCGTCACTTTACCCATTACTGGTGCGAAGAAGAATTGCGGGCCACGTCGACGGCAGCGAGCAGCGAACTGGTCACCAGACGTGACCTTCATATCGATCACTGTCTGAAAAACACATGCCACCACCCGGGGTGGGTATTCCCAAACAGAGCGTCCATTTTTCGGTGACCAAGAAACCGAATCTTCGAGGACCAAGATACTGGGTGAGAACAAGTACGCGGACGTCGGCATTCTGACGCCGCCCCGAGAATTTGGAACATTAAAGCACTGGCTGAGAATCGTAAGAGACCATATGACGCGTGCTAAGACCGCTTCCACCTACAGTTTCTCCAGTACGTTTCCATCGGGAGCCCCTTTGATGGTTCCACCGCATTGAAGTTGCCGAAACCGTCGACCACCACTCAAGGACACCAGAACCCGGGGCCCCTCGACGCCGAAGCGAAACAAGCCGCTTGGCGGTTCCAGTGACGACCTGTTGCCGACAAGGTGCATTTCTCGGTGTCCACGTGCCCGAACGTGTTGGCCGCGCACGTGGCCCTGAGGTGCGTTTTTGGCACGGTCGTCGACCCGTTCTGCAGCGTCGGCCGCCTGGCCGTTCGGCTGGCGCGCACGTGCCAAAAGGTGATCGCCGTGGACAATGACCCGGCCAAAATACGGTTGGCCCGCCGGAAGACCGCGGAGCTTGGAGTCACCCACCGGATTGAGTTTCGGGTCCGTGACAGCTTTGCGGTGTTGTTCGGAGTAATATTCAACGTTACTTCGCCGCCGTGAGATCGAAACCGGCAGTTCAGTGCCGAGGATTTGTGCAGTCACCAGAAGGGCGGACTATCCGGCATTCTCGAGATCACCCCCGTTGTCGTTCTCGACGTGCCCAAAACCCTTCACTTGTCTCAGACTGTGGAAGTTTCGAGAGACCATGGTTTTGGGTGCGTGGAGATCGAACACGTCAGCGTTGAGGGATGGAAGAACTCCTCAAACGTCGTTCTGTACCTATAGAGGTTGAGCAAGGGCGGGGGAGCGATCCAACCGACCGTCTCAGAAGTGCTGTTAAATCCGAAATCGGTAGAAACGCTACAGAGACCATATGCGTAATCGCATGTTTAATCGACAATAGATGGAAGACATCGTGATCCAGAATATTTTTTTTTATCATCAAAACATTCATAATTCTAGTACTGTTTACTTATTTTTATTTTTTTTTCCAGCGACACACGTACAGACATATCCAACCGGTAGTCTCGGGGGTGAAATTAGACCAGAAATCTATTTCGCCACCGAGACTATATGCTTAGTTGGCTCTTTTTTCTTATTTTATACATTTTTTTATACCTTTTGTTGTATGGTACTACTTTTTCAACTACTTAATTTAATTCGTCAATTTTTTGGTTTTTACCCTTCACAGGGTTTTTCTTCTTTTATACAATTTTTATAACATATTTATTTTTTCATATTACTAAGTTTTTTTTTTTTTTTATAACAATTTTCACTTTTTTTTTATATTTTCATAATTTTTACTACATTGCCTTTTATCTGTGTAGAAATTTTATACTTTTATGATGTTAAAATAAATGTTTAAAACTACTGTTATGATAAAAATTGAGTATAATTGTTATTTTGCTATGATGGTCGAATCGAATCGTGTTGTCTCTTAATTTAATTTTTTTTTTCAGTTTTATTATTGTAAAACTTTTAAATGTATGCCAAGCTTATGGACCTGAAGTTGGCTCCCCGCCTATATCGAATCAAATCCGGAACTATCCCCAAATTTAATAACCTTTTAGTAATTACTTGTAACTACCTAATGGTCTTGATTTTCGAGATTACTCAATTTACAAAATGTTGGGTAACCGTTATCGATCGGGTGCCCGTTAAGGTTTTGGTTTTTACCATCTAGATAACAATTAAAATCTGGCCTTTTATTCCAAATGGTTTGGATTTTAATCGTTCAATGTTAATTTAAACATTTTTTATTTATGATACAAACTTTAATAGTTTATTTTTAACATTATAATAAATGTTATCCTTGAAATTTTAATTATTTAACTATATATATAGTATAGTGTATATATATATAGTATAACTATATATAAATTTCTTATTAATAACTGGCTTATGTAATCTAACCCGGGTACCCAGGGGTATTACCCACATCAAATCAAGAATACTATTGTATCGTCTTTACCACGTACAACATTAACCAATATACGAGTACTCCTAGTGTTGGATTTAAGAAATTTAACGACTGGGGCTAATAAAAATATAGCATTCTTACGTCGGTGGACGTACGAGGTATGTTCATGACTTTTTTATTTTTCATAAACTTAAAGAGACCCTTATACTTAACTGTGTCTTGAACAAGCATACTCACTTGCCCCTCCCCCATATCCTATACTGTCTACATATACCTTATGTACAAGAGTATGTACTAAATATTAGTTTATTATTCATGAATGATTTTTGGTAAACTATACAATTAAACACGTTAAGATTTGTATTTTTACTACCTACTCTTGGTTTTATATTCAAATTTATATTTTTATATTAAGTAACCGTTATTAACTTTTATTAATTTAATATTTTTAACCACAAATACATTTAATAATCTACATTACTTGGATAGCAAGACCAAAGCATAAAAACAAAAAGGTATATTTTAATATTAATACTGTGTTCCTTAACTAATTTATTAATTTAATATTTATAATATATAATTTCACACGTTTAGTATGTAAAAGTATCAAATACAAATTATTAGTTAATTATTATTACATGTATCGAACAACATTATTTTGAATTAACCAATGTTCTTATTATTTAATATATTTTTTATTGAAACTTTGTGAAAGCCATTAAATTAATCCCTATGGTTAAAAATATTGGAAAAGAGTACCTAAGTAGTCCAGAATCAAAATTTAAATTTTGCCTCCCTATTTATAACAATTACTTTTGTTTTACTATAACCCCCTTTATAGTTTCAAATATTATAATAATTATAAAATATATACCTAAGTATTATTAATACACAGAAAAAAAATTGAGAAATAACGTTATTCTATTTTCTCATAGTTTTTTAATAGTATTAAGAAACATAATTAACTAGAGCATACCTGAAATTTAAGTGATTCTGTGTTCTCTAAATTAGCCAGCTCCCTTTTTTTCACTTTTTGTTCTTTTGCGATCATTTCTTTTTCCTGAATAATTTTATAGTTAAATTCAGCTATTTCTTTTTTACGTTTAGCAATAGCTGCAACTCTCAATTCGTCAGAATTTACTCTAAAAAAACCTTGCTCGTTTAGATGAATGAATATAATTTGTATTGTTTATACAAACATGAAATGCTGTAAACGTTTTTCTTCCACTATTTTACGTTCTATTTCATCTTTTTTTGTTTTTGACTCATCAATTATTTCCTGTAATTCTTCTGTGGATATTTTAGAAAGCTCTGGTTCCTTCTCATCTTCTATTAAATCTTGTCTAAAATATTAAACAATTACTTATTATTTCAGGACTGAGATTTTAATGCCCAAAAGTGCCATGTAATATTCATGCTATAAATATTAGCAAAATATTCAACAAAAACATACATTTTAGTTAAAAAAAAACAAATATGTTTTTTGGGAATGTATGTAAGGTAAACTTTTAACTGTTTAATTCATTTTACAACTTTTTTTTTGACTTGAAAATATTGCCGGAAATTCCTACCGCAAGTATAATGCATAAAATAAATACCGTATAGTAATCATTAAGGCCCGGATTTTTATGTAATAAAAAAGTCAAAATATGTAAATATTTATGTTTTTATTTTTGCTAAAATATGTATTAAAAACGTAAAATATTTAACAAAAAAAAATCGGTATTTTCCATTAATTTTTAATTATTAATTAATAATTATTCATTTAATCATCTTCATTTTGTCTTCTTCCGAACAATTGGATAATACGTACATTTAAAGATTTTCAAATTTTAATGTATGGCGGTTAGTTTTCAAAGTCAACTCGTAACGGCTGAGGCTGCATTCAACATTAACCGAGATTAATGGGGCATATTTCATACCACATACATCGGATGGTGTTACTTCAATATAATTTGACATATTTTCATTTATATTAGTAAGATTATACCTAATAATTTAATTTTTTTTTGTAAACCAACGTATTACCCAGTACGTAGTTTAAATATTTTTTATTATAACTCCGGATTCTCCTTGAACTTAATTTCATTGAATTTCTGCATTTTTCACTATCGCGAGACTTTCAATTATTGTTAGATTCAATGTTTATAATATTTTATTATTTTAACCAAGAAAAAATTTTTTTTTGAAAATATATGCTAAATTATTTTGCAAGTTATTAATTTACGTAATATCAGAAGTAATAGCAATTTTAGTATCTGAATCAAGATTTGAAATATCTTTTTTCATTTAATTCCAATATAATAATTGTAAATTAAATAAAAACTAAATTGAAATGATATGAAAATGTGAAATATTTACAAAATATGTGAAAATATGTAAAATAAAAAAAATAAATATATTATACAACATTCTATTAGAATCTATCAAAAATCTAAATGGAAAATATATATAATATTAAAAATAAAAATTGTATTATCTTTTCTTTTTTTTTATCTTTTTGATACTCGTACACTTAATGAATAAATTTGTTTCAGAAGTTTCAGATTTAAAATAAATTAATGACAAAGACGTACATTATACGCAGTTCATAAAGGCTCAAGAATAGTTTTAAGTAGTACTTATTATTATTTTTATTTACTTTTTTTTCAATTATGACATGAAAAATAAAATATAGCTATAAAAAAATATGAATAAATAATCCATGTTATTTCAAAAATTATTCATGATTTTTTTAAGTAAGCGTTTTTAAGCGCATAATTTTAGATATTTTGTGCATATAAATGTATATTTTTTGACTTTTTAAAGTATATTTCAAAGTATATTTTGTCAATTTTAAGTGCATAAATGCATGCTTATTTAGGTATTTTTTAGAGCATGTAATTATGAACCCTGGTAATCATGTTTTATACTTGATAAAATAATTTAATTTAATTTTTAATATCTACGTTTATTAAGTATTAAACATATGTATATAGCTATTATAGTTTAATTTTGTTGTACTTTACTTACGTTCTTCACTAATTGTTTCACATTGTTAATTATCATCAGTAATTATTATTATAATACTTATTATGTTTTATCTAACAACTCGTATTATTATCTTCACTGTATTAAATGAACATTTCATTGTTAAGGTTCACTAACGTTACACGGCAAAATCGAAATGTACATTTTGAACGAGAAATAAACGTTATACGTGCAATAAAAATATAAAATCAAAGTGAACAATTTAAATTTCGAACTATTGAAATATTTACCAAGTACTTTAGTAGGTAACAGTTGAATTGTATGGGTTACGGGTGTCTATAACTTTTAAAGAACATGAAAAAGACAGAAAGGCTTCAGCACCCCTAGTTTTTTCTTTGAAATTGCGTTCCTGAGTAAACTATCAAAAATAGTGTAATAAGATCATGGATGAATTAAATTATTAAATTAAACCTAAACCTTGTTTATTTGAATATTGTGTTTGAATTTTATTTGAATAAGTAATCGTACATACTTCGGACAGTCTTCTATAAACAAATGTTCATTGGCTTTCATTTCATCATCAACCATTTTTTTTATTAGATTATAGACACATTTCTTATCAGCCATGTCGATCATTTGGATGTGTTGAGTATGTCTTTTTATGCTTTTAAAATGATCTTCAGTTCCCATTTGATGTCTTTCAAGACGCATTCGTTCCATGTCACGAATTCGAAATTTGTAATCGCTTATCGGTTTTTTGGCTAACTATGATAATTATGAATATTACACAAATGTTTTACTTCGATGTTAAAAATATAGTTGCGCATAGGTACTTACTAATCCGTATGTATAAGCCTCAGGTCTATGAAATTCCATTGTTTGTGTTCTACAATTATTGACCGGAGTGGCGAATTTTTAAGGTTTTCCTTCGCATACCATTGTAATTTAGTTTTGTGTGATGTAAGTTTTTATGATAACATTTTAAATATTCTTCTTATTTTATTCTATTCTCACATTTGAGAACAATGTTGTTTGTTAGATATTTAAATAGTTGCCATACCAATTAAGGTTTGTATATTCAGTTACAAAAAGCTACCCATAGCAACATAATAGAGTGCATATACTCGATGTTTAAATCAATGATAAAAAAACTCAACTAGTACAACGAAAATAAGCTTTTACAGTAATTAACGTTCAAAGCAATAACTTTTTTTAAATCAATATCCCCAGACTAAAATGGAAGGATGCCAATGATAAATAAAATATCATAAATTTATTAATATTTAGTATACTTTCTCGCATCAGTTTCATTTTTTATAATATTTGGAAATCATTGTCCAAAATGGAAACCAAAATATATTATAAAACCTCAATTCAATTATTAAGAGAATAGAAAATTCACCTAGATATGGTTGACTTTTGATACTCAGTGGAATATAACATATTTACTTATATTTTTATGCAGTATAGAAACTATGACTATTTTTTAATACAAATTATAAAAATTTATCAATTAAAATGTTCAGCTAACTAATCGATTTACAACTACAATATAAAATAGTAATTCTTGTATTAAAACCATAAATTTGAAATAAATTTCCTAAAAAATTTTAAAAATATTAAGTCCTATTTTTTTAAAATGTGTTTGAATTTTAAATTATAAAAAAACTGAATGAAAATCACGAGAAGCGGCAATATTTTTTTAATCATTCATATATATTTAATTTTTAATTTCAATATACAAGGCTTTAAAACTAAATAAAAAATTCTAATTTTTCTTTTTAATTAATGAAAAAAATTACACAAAAAGTTACAAAAAAAAGTTTGTAAGCATTAGAATAATAATATTCAATTTAGCGGAAGTTGGATAATTCATCGAAATTCGTTGGGTTATTCGAATATTGATACGAATTTCGATTAAACGACTTAAGTTTTTTTGTGATCTAAAAATATATTTGTTGGTGGTTATTACATGAACATGAACAGAATGGTTCAAGGTATTTTCCCCGAATGACGTTTTTTTTACTAATACATGTTATTATATTATATGTATGAGGAATCTTCATGAAATGATCAATACAATCATAACAATTAAAGCCTGTCAAGTAATGTAAAGAAGAATAAAAATACAAAAAAATTCTGTTTTTTTTTTTTTTGTATTTTCACTCTTCTTTTTTTACATTTTCAAAGAACTTTTAAACAAGAAATTACTTTTTGTTTTCACCATATCAAAGAGCATCTAAAATTCCATCCTTTTTAAAAAAAAAAAAAGTGAAAACATGATTTTTGACAACTAAGCCCCCTTTTCATAGACACATATAGACAAGTATTTTTATGTCATCTGTAAGGAAAAATCTGTGAAGAAACTTGTATTTGATATTAAGCCTTTAGTGTATAAGTAAGTTAAAAAAACCATTTAAACAGAGAATACATGAAATCATGCATTCATAATAAATTCTACAACCCTTTTAGCATGAGGAAATTAAGATTTTATAATTTAATTATGAATAACACAAAACGAATTTTGACCGAATCCAATAACATGCAAAAGTATTTAATTCACAGACAAGCATTAAGCATGAATTAATTGCATTATACAGAAAGCAATGATACCACAAATGTTTTACTGGATATAATTGAAGTTATATAAAAATAATTATCGATATAATCATTCAATTAGAGTCTAAAACAGTGCCGTAAAAACCAGCTGTGCAGAATGTATATTGTAAATAGGCCCCGGCATTATACTTCATTATGAGGCCTACAACTGGTTACGACTGGATTTATAGGTTCGACTGGCATGAACATATCAATATTATTTTATATGAACGAAAACAACGTTAATTTCTAAATCTAGTTGTATCCCTTGCCCCGCATCCTTTTAGGTAATGCATATTATGTTTCCATTTTTAAATCATATCGTAAATATTATAAAAAACATATTATGAAAATAAAATGTAATAGTTGTAATAGTTTTCAAAATAAATTTTTATATATTTACATATAAAATATTTATTTATTTTTTCTTGTATAACATGTTTTTAACGATTACACGTCTTAATAAACTTTTATTTTTTGCTCCATAGCATACCCTAAGTATTATGTATAATAATATACGTAGAATATAAACAAGGCCGTATCTAGAAATTGTTTTCGGGAGGGGTCCAAAACATGTATATTGTAATTTTATTGAATTTAGATTTTAACTTTTGATATTTAGTTAATAATAAGACAGAAAAAGATTTAATCTTCTTCTTTTATTAAAATAATATCAAATTTTCATATGATATTATGATATAAAATTAAAAGCAATCAATTAACGATTAATTGAAGCTAAAGTCATTTTTGACTGAAAATATTTATGTTGATATTAAAAATAAGTAAGTATTTTAAACATTTGTAAAATATTGAAGAAATTTAGGGGGGGTCCAGACACCTTGGACCATTGCACAACTTTATTATATTTAAATATAATAAAAATAACGGTACTGGTATATAGGAACAATATTTAATTGTTTGACAAAAGTAAAGTTAATTAAATTCCAATTGATGCTCTGACAGAGGTTCTGCTCGTTAACACTGATACAACAACATTGCATACTTATTAAAATGCGTCGTCCAGCCGAGGGCTCGCTACACTCCAATATTGGTTCGGCTGTATTTTGTAATATATACATAAATATATGTAGGTACGTGATTTGAAATTCTCTACCTAGTACTACTAAAATCTCGTTTTTCATTGTAATATGAGATCGTTGCTTTCTGCATAGTGCCATTTTTTGTATATATTCAATAAGAATCAATAAGTATTATTTTATAAACTTTCCATTGGTACTTGATTAAGACTTGTGCTTGTAACAAAGTCCGATGAATCATTCCACTGCAACCTACTCATCATCGGAATACATTCATACTGGAATTTTATTCTTATGATACCGATGATGACATCTTATTCGCCAGTTACTGCATCCGATGTGCGAGTACATAATTCTGAAAATTAAATTTAATATTTTGCGTTCATGAAAAAAACCAAAAATTTCAGAGAACAACAAGTGATGAAAACATCCCGATCAAAAATCAATCAAGATCTAATAAAAACATTTGGCTCGTTGTATCGGATCGGTTGATATCGACTACGAGAAACTTAAATCCAAAAGAAAAAAAAACATTTAATGTTTTAGACGTTGAAGTTTTCTTTCCCGAAGGAAATTGCGATCGCGTAATGCTTTGTTTTAGAAAAATTGTACAACTCCTCCAAAGGACGAATTTTGTTCAACGGTATTTGAAATGTATATGCGCGCGTTTTACGATTCGTTAAGCTAAAAATCTTCTTTTAAGGTAGGCATATACTCAGGGCCGCGTTTAGGGGGGAGGCACTGGTTACAATTGCTCCGGGCGCCAGTTTTTTTGGGGGCGCCAAAATTTTGTGGTCGAAAATTTGCTCACTTGTGAATTATCGAATTTTTAAAATTATTTTGAAATTATTATTTTTTTTTATTTTTAATAACAGTATCATAAATTAATATTAATATATTTAATTTATTAATATATATTATTAATGTGTTTATAGCAATATAGCTATCAGCGAACCAGAATATTATTAATATACCTAATATTAGTTCCCAAATTTATTGTGATAATGTCAATAAACATAAGTTATTTTTAATAATACGGCGTATTATGGTATCGCGTTCGGCGTGCAGTAGCATGCCTACTACACAAAAATAGCATTGATTTTAGAGTATTTAAAAGGTTCATGAGGATCTATTTCCTATATTTTCCGTGGGCAGGCCCTTTAGAAGGGTGCCAATTTTTTTTTTTGCACAAGGGGCGCAAAATGTCTAAATGGGGTACTGCATACACTATGCATTTTAAATGACACTCAAGACCAAGACCGGATTAAGCACCTATTAGGCTCTGACACTGAAATTTTATATTGGCCCTTTTGACAAAACATGTTTTATAAAGCTGCCGCTATGCTCGCAGAACTATACACTTTTTGTAACTATTTTATAAATTGTCAATTGCATTATACAATAATAAAATTAATAGGTATATACAATTTATGTCTATAAAACTACTAATTTTAGTTTGATAAAAAATGTGTATCAGTTTAAAATTGTTTGGGTCCCTTTCACTTGGGTACCCGAGAGGGCCCCGGAGCTACTGCCCAGGCTAGACCTCCCCTTAATCCGGCCTTGGTCAAGACTGACAATGTATTGGTAAGAATGTTGTAGATTGACAGTCAAATTTTTTGACGGACGAATTTCATTCATGTTTGATTTTTTTCTGTCATTCGAGTAATATTCCTGAATGATAAGGCATAGGATTGATTGATGATTTATTGGTCAAAAACCTGTACACCAATAATCACGTACACGTGCGAATGTGTGACGCCGTGAAGTGCGATTTTTAATTTTTATTTATTTTTATCTTTCTAAAATGTCGAATGGTAAAAACGATCAAGACTTTAGGCACGATTTCATACATTTACATAGAAGTTTACCAGCTGTGTGGAAAAATAATTAAATTTCAAATTGGTGAAATCAACAAATAAATTGATTAGAACAATTAAACTGTGCAGAAAGAATATACACACAAAGACTGCGTTGAATAAAAATAAGAACCGTCTATTTTGATTGACCATAGATTAGTTGTATGACAATCATTAGACATCAGTCGAATTGTCATTCAAGACGATTGTCGTTCATTGATTCGTAGCATATTCCCGGCTTAACGTAAATATGGGGAGTAACCGAATTAGTTCCCATTTGGCCGAATTGGTTCCCGTTTAAAAATAGTATTTTATTAGGTAGAGCCTAATTGGTTCCCGTTTGTGTACAGGTAAAATAATTTTAATTTTCAACACAATTTACCTACACTATTAAAAATTAAAATCCAGCGGGCAAGTGCATAGAGAGCAAAAAACAAAATTTTAAAAGCTATTTGTATGAAATATAGACACAATTATTATATCGATAAGATGGAGTATAGAAATATAATGGACT